TTAGTGAATGAGTGAGTGCTCTGGATCTTGTATGTTGAATTGGCCCCAGCACCATCCTATAACGTACAGGTGATACTCGAAAAATTAGAATATCGTGCAAAAGTTAATTTATTTCAGTAATGCAACGTAAAAGGGGAAACTAATATATGAGATAGACGCATTACATGCAAAGCGAGATAGTTCAAGGCGTGATTTGTCATAAGTGCGATGATTATAGCTTACAGCCATACGTTACCTTACTGAACTAAAGGAACTTTTGCATGGTATTCTAATTTTTCGAGTATCACCTGTATGCATGTTCAGGTGAGTGCAGCCCTCTTGGTTTCATGTATTAACTTACTGATCCAAGGAGAAATGCCATTTTGGAGTCATGAAAGATTTTTCCCTATTATAAGCTGCAGTTTAATTCATTTGGATCAGCATTTTAAATGATCACAATTAGAGTTGAGTGGACACCTGGATGGCGGGTTCAGCCGAACTTTGAAAAAAGGTCTTGGTTCGGGCTCGAATCTGACCCCGAACCCTATTGAAGTCAATGGAGACCCAAACTTTTGGCCACAAAAATGCCTCTAAAAAAACTCAAGGAAAGAGCTAGAGAGCTGCAAAAGCAAGTAAAATGGGGATAAGAGTAGGACAAGTGCCCTGGAAACAAATGTGGATAGGGAAATCACTTAAAATAACAAAAATTAAAAATACAGCTGAGCCATAAAATAGCACTAGATGAAATCTTTGATTTTCGCTTTGGAAGAACATAAATCAAAATATAAAGCATGGCGGTCAGGAGGATCAACAGAATTATCCATTTGAGAGAGGGTTGGAGTGCAGGGTATTCTCTTTCATTGTTCAAACTGAGCTCAACTCCTGATGCATGGAGAAAAGGCCTTCACAATCCTCTGCTATTGTGTACATAGTTTATACTAAGTGACCCATGGGTTGAGGAAGCAGTAACCGTGGCGGTGTAGGTAGAAGCAGGGGTGGAGAAGGAGGATGAGGTAGCCAACACTGTTTTTTTGTTTTTGTTTTTTTTAATTGTGGTAGCCCACAAAATATTGGGACATACAACAAAAGAAACATTTGCGGCCTGCGGTGCATTTCTTGCAGTCCTGATGCATGGAGAAATGCTCAACTCCTGATCCACGGAGAAAAGGCATTCACAAGCCTCTGCTAATGTATACCTAGTTTATACTAAGTGACCCATAGGTTGAGGAGGCGGTGACCGTGGCGATGGAGGAGGATTCAGCGGTGGAGGAGGAGGATGAGGTATCCAACACTGGTTTTTTTTTTATTTTTATTGTGGTAGTCCCCAAAATATTTACATACAACAAAAGAAACATTTGTGGAATGCGGTGCATTTCTTGCAGTCCTGATGCATGGAGAAATGCTCAACTCTACTAAGTTGACCCATAGGTTGAGGAGGCGGTGATCGTGGTGGTGGAGGAGGAGGAGGATGAGGCAACACTGTTTTTATACATATATATATATATATATATATATTAATTGTGGTAGCCAATTAATATATATATATATATACATATATATATATATATTCTCTGTTCCGCATAGTAGCTGTTGACATTATAGTTGCGCAGGAACTTTATAGTTGCGCAGAGAATCTCGGGCAAATCTACAACTGCTCACTATTAGACGCTTCTATTTGACTCTCAGATATGAAGAGCAGGCCACAAAATGTACTATTTAGCAGATTAGCAAGAAGCTTTATGGCTTCTTCTATCCTATATTCGTTTACTATTCAGAACTCTGCCTCTTAAATAATATTTTTTTTGTAATTACATAACTGAGAGGATGAGTCGACGGGGTTTTAAAAAAAAAATATGCAAACACTGAAAACATTAAATAAGTGGCACTAGTTCCTTTTTTATGCTAGGTCATCCAGGGCCTCTTGTTTTGTGGATAATGCTTGCATTCTTTAATTGAACTTATAAACATGAAGAATAGCTATTAAAATGTCTTCACATAGGAGCAGAATCAATAAAGTGGAAAATGTTTTTTCATAAATAGTCTCGTCTATTGCTGAAACTTGCAATTGTTATAATGCTGCATTTGTATATTTTACAGAATAAACATCTTCATTCTTTTTGTGAATTCTGGATTTTTCAGTACTTACATATTCTGGAGCGTAGGTACCAAAGCCTATAATTGGAATCTTGTTTCCATCATTCAGCGGGAGTCGAAACATAGAGTTGGATGCCATCGCTTTAGATGAGTGTTTGCACTTGAAAGTGACTGTTGGGAAGTATGTATTGTGTATATATAGTGCAGGAGGTGTGACAAAAGAGAGAGGGAGGGAGTTTATGGTGCAGTGCTGAACACGGGTGGGTCAAATTACAAATTTCTTTGTAAGGTGTGAGTGTAATCGAAGAAAACATTCCTTACAAAGAAGAAAAGGGCGTATGCAACAGTAAGGAAACATCACTGAAAAGCAGAAAATTTTCAAAGGAATAAGTTAATCACGTAATAGGCAAGCAAATAAAAGACATGACACAGGTGACACTATGTGCAAATTTGACTTGTTTCTCATATTCAATGTTTAATAGTCATTTTCACAAAGAGCTTATTATAAGCCATTTAATATTATTATATTTAGATGTTCTTATTACTTAGAACTTAGAAAGCACCAACGTATTCTGCCGTGCTATACATTTGGGGAACAATGCAGACATGCCAGTAAAAAAGGAACAGAGAACATGGTTATTTAATAAAGTGAGAGTTGTTGAGAATTCCAAGAAAATTTAAGGTGGATTTCACATTTAACACCCAAAGAGCTGAACTGGAAGCATAGCAGATTTAGAGAACATTTATAGTTCAGCTATTTCAGGTTTACATTTAAAATCCATGTTTTATTCACTTTGAATTCCCATAATTCACACAAAGTACTTTATAACATGACAAGGTGGCTACAATTCAAATGTATCTTTACATAGCATGTAATATTGATATGATGAAATAGCAATGCAACTGTATGTGACTGGCCCAGGCAATAACGCTTTGCTTTTGTTTACATTCAACCCTTTTCCTATATCTCCCCTCTTAATCTCCTTCCTTTCTTGCCAACTCTTTGCAGGTTGTGTGCAATCAAGGAGTCATTAATTTTAACAATGTAACTGCAATTCACGTTTTGTGCTCCAAGAGACTGTACATATCTATGAAATCCCTGCATTTTGTTCAAACACTGCTCTTGAGATTGATAACTAGTCAAGATGTGGAAAAACTGGATTCAGAAAGAGCAAAGAATTTGGCAAGAAGTGTACTCTGTTAATAGATTGTGAAACTCAAACAGCTATAATAATTATCCTGTGCAAACTCGGACATATAGCATTTTTACATTTCTCAATGGGCTCAGTATATTGGGATCAGTAATTATATTTATATTTGTAACGGAATCCTCTGTTACACTGTTGGTTGGAGAGAACTGCAGGCCAATCAGGCCAACCAATGTAATTGCACGAACATGCTTGTTTCATTGATAGCACATCATATGTGCACTTCAATCTTATATATCACAGAAAGTATGAGATACAGTATCTGTGCCTAAGACATGAAGTATATCATGACAACTGATTGACAAGAGAGGGGGCACATTTTTAAATAATTTTTTTTAGCAAATTGATTTGTCAGAAATTCTGCTAACACAATGATTGATGACTTTTAGTGTTATTTTATTTATTTAAGTTGTGTGTACGATGGCAGGTACATTGTCTGTAGAGAATCATTTATAAACTCTTTTCACTCGAACTTAGGAATTGTGTGCACAGGATACATAGGTCAAAGTCTCACTGAAATCAATGGCTTGTGCACCTTTGTGTGTCTATTCTGTGTCAAACTGTACTTTGAAAATGAATTTTAAAGGTGTATTTGTTATTAAAAGTGTAAAATAATAGCTTAATACACCATACATATATGTTGCCATTATTATTTCCTAATTATTATTACTAAAACTAATCACATTTGCCAGTGTGACGGGTGAACACATAGCTCACTGCTTTCCTAGTCTGATTTGCTCATTGTAAGACACAAAGTGAAAATGCTTTGAGACAACAGCCTATTGGTCACCAATTTAAATAGTATAGTAAATATTAGTAGTAATATAATAGTAAACAAAAGGAAAGAAAGATGCTAGGTAGTCTCAATGTAAATCAAGACAGGAGACCCTATGCATCACCTGGATGTAAATATAGCCACGTAGGAACTAAATATTAATATAAATAATGGCTAGATATACCCAAAGAAAATGAGACCATAAAAATTAATGAAAAAAAGATAAAGTATGTAAAAATATAACTTACACCACTATACCTCCAAGGTAAAGACAGAAATAGGTCACTACTAAATGAATAGAGGGGTATGATATATAGTACTGGAATAAAGCTTTATTAGAAGACAGGCTTCAACGTAGGTTTCAATCCCAATAATGACCCCTTATGTCTGGTCTAACCTTTACCACGCTTCTGGATATAAACGAAAGGAGTACTATGTCTCCAATAACAACTGTCCAAGGTACATGAAAGTCCAATGTGGAACCCTCCAAATTCAGCTAAGTGATAAAGGACCAGGTCCCTAAAAATAGAGACAGTCTGGGACTAATAATAACCAGAGCAAAAATACATATAGATAGAATAGAGAGAGGATACATAGAGTGAAAAAGTCAGTTTCAAATAAACTGGCAGTGTAGTTTATAAAGCCTCTCTCCCTGTAAAACTATCTAGACAGGTATAGTAGCACAGAAGTAAAATTAAAAGAAATATTCAAAGCATATTTGAACATAAGAGTGCTTAAATCAAAAAGTGCCCAGGGCCCATATTCAAAAATTAAAGGATAAACGCCCGACACGTGTTTCGGTGCTTGTATGCTGCACCTTTGTCAGAGTCCAACAGAATAGTAGTCAGGCCTCACTTAAATAAAAAAAGATTAGGTACCTGTGGCCAATGGTGTCCGTGAGGAAATCACACCCAGGTGCGACTGCTGTCAACGCTCACGTGGTCTATTGCTGCAAAGTAGCTTACACGTAGATACCCACGTGGTCGCAACTTGAAAGTCTCTGATTGGCTCTATTCCAAAAAAACACTCTGGGATACGCCTCACAAGTTCGGGGCTATTCGTTTCTTAACATGAAACATGTTGCGGCGCCCAGCCCCCATGGGCGTGATTAGACACTTAGCGAACTAGGTCAATTCTCTTGTGGACATTATAGTTGCGCAGGAACTTTGTTGACTCTAGAGAATCTCGGGCAAATCGCACATCCCCGTGGTGACGACTTTGCATGCGGATGTCATCCATATCAACTTTCAATGCCAGTTTCTGCGCCTACCATGGTGACCACGGGTAACGGGGAATCAGGGTTCCATTCCGTACAGGTACCCTGAGAAACGGCTACCACATACAAGGAAGGCAGCAGGCACGCAAATGAACCACTCCCGACGCGGGAAGGTAGTGACAAAAAATAACAATACAGGACTCTTTAGAGGTCCTGTAATTGAAATGAGTCCACTTGAAATCCTTTAACTCTGATCAATTGGAGGGAAGTCTGGTGCAGAGCCACTGACCCATGTGTGCTGCAGCTGAAACTCCATTATCGCCTGCTGCTGCTCGCACAGTCTCAAGAGGCGGTGAGCGGGAAGGTCAAAGTTACGCTGCAGCGCAGACAGGCGAGCAGCACCAGGGTGACAACGCCAAAAGCGCGCACAGCCGCTACAGTGAATGTCACACCCCGTTCCAAGTTGCGGATCAGTATGGTGATGGCTTCTGGTATCAAGTACTCTTTTTACTGAAGCTGCATCGGGGTCCTGGTGTGTGGCCGCACAAACGCTGGTGCTCAACACCAGGGGGCGTGCGGTTGCCCTGCACCAGACCCTGCTAATCCATTCCACACTGTGACTCCTAGGCATACTGGGTCTTGGTCGTCCGGACTGCCCACCTCACTGTGAAACTACGACTGGATCGTTAAATTTGGTACGAACCCGAACTTTGCAGTTCGGGTTCGCTCAAGTCTATTATGGATCCTTTGATCGCTACATGTATTACTTGGATAACTGGTAATTCTCAAGCTAATACATGCCGACGAGCGCTAGGGGACGGCCATTCCGCTTTTGCTCCCTGCTCCCTCTTATGCTGTGCTGGTGCCTCTGTGCGACCAGCACCTCTTCCTCCAAACTGCACACGTCACTCGCATGACCTTGATTCCATGTGGGGTCTAGGACCTCATCATCCTCCACATCATCTTCCACCCACTCCCCAACCCGGTATGCACACTGCAGAAAGCCACAGGAGTTGGCACCTGTGTTTTTCCAGCATGTAAAGTCTGCAAAGGACATATGGAAATTGTTTTAGAATTGTATCCAGGCAACAGTTTTCCCTATAAACTGACCCCTCAGTTTGACTTGTAAAAGTATTGCCCCAGAATTACAATATTGTTGAAGTACCTCTAAGCTATTGATCACTGGTTTGAATATAGCTGCTTGTTATCTGGTAGTTTCTAGTGTAGAAAATATCAATCTGTTTTCTATCACTTAGATCTGTGTAACAAGTGTTGTAGGTGTGAAACAATATTACAAGTGACCGATGTAGTAAATTCAAATCAAAGTTACTCTTCGATTTGACTCTCAGATATGAAGTAAACACCCCAAATATACTATTTAGCACCAAAAAAAATTCACTTTTAAAAACTCCAATGTAAGCAGCAGATTAGCAGCAAAACAATTAGAATGTTTACAACTGCGCAGTAAGCACGCTATTAGACGCTTCCATTTGACTCTCAGATATGAAGTGCACCGCAGGCCGCAAATGTACTATTTAGCAGATTAGCAGCAAAACAATTAGAATGTTTACCACTACCCTGTAAGCGCACTATTAGACGCTTCTATTTGACTCTCAGATATGAAGCGCACGCCCCAAAATGTACTATTTAGCAGATTAGCACCCAGAAAATAAGAATGTTTACCACTGCGCTGTAAGCACACTATGATCCGCTTCTATTTGACTCTCAGATATGAAGTGCACCCCACTAAAATACTATTTAGCAGTTTAGGACCCAAAAAATTTTAAGTTTTAAAACTGCAATGTGACAGCAGTATTTGACAATTCTATTTGACTCTCAGATATGAAGTACACCCCACTAATGTACTATTTAGCACCAAAATGTTTTAACTTTTTACAACTCCGATGTAACCGCGGTATTTGAAGCTTCTATTTGACTCTCAGATATGAAGGGCACCCCACCCCACTAATGTACTAGTTTGCAGAATTCTTTCCTAAGCTGCCCTATCAGCGGCATCATCCTCTAATAAGACCGCATGTGCTTGCGGCGCTACGCAACTCCAGCTTATATATAGAGGCTGGGTCATATGCTGCACTGGCCAATAACAGCCATGCCATTGGCTGTGATGGCTTCTAAGGGCACACGATTCAAACGCTTGTTAATTGGCGGCCCTGCAGCCTTTGAAAACATGCCATTAAATCGTCAAACACCAAACTCCAACATGAACATACAGTGATATGTCTGTGTTCGAGTCCTGGGTCCAAAAAACCTAATGTTTTTCTCCTTGTTTTGAATCAACAGCAGAAACCTGGGTGTTGCTAAGTGGCAAAAAGACTAGGAGATTCAGCCCAAGACTAGACTTTATGGCTTCTTCTATCCTATATTCGTTTACTATTCAGAACTCTGCCTCTTGCCTGTTAAATAAAAATTTTTTTGTAATTACATAACTGAGAGGATGAGTCGACGGGGTTTTTAAAAAAAAAATGCAAACACTGAATTGAAGTCCATGTGGATTAGGGCTAAAAAACAAACAAACCAAAAACATTAAATAAGTGGCACTAGTTCCTTTTTTATGCTAGGTCAACCAGGTCCTCTTATTTTGTGGATAATGCTTGCATTCTTTAATTGAACTTATAAACATGAAGAATAGCTATTAAAATGTCTTCACATAGGAGCAGAATCAATAAAGTGGAAAATGTTTTTTCATAAATAGTCTCGTCTATTGCTGAACTTGCAATTGTTATAATGCTGCATTTGTATATTTCACAGAATAAACATCTTCATTCTTTTTGTGAATTCTGGATTTTTCAGTACTTACATATTCTGGAGCGTAGGTACCAAAGCCTATAATTGGAATCTTGTTTCCATCATTCAGCTGGAGTCGAAACATAGAGTTGGATGCCATCGCTTTAGAGGAGTGTTTGCACTTGAAAGTGACTGTTGGGAAGTATATATTGTGTATATATAGTGCAGGAGGTGTGACAAAAGAGGGAGGGAGTTTATGGTGCAGTGCTAGACACGGGTGGGTCAAATTACAAATTTCTTTGTAAGGTGTGAGTGTAATCGAAGAAAATATTCCTTACAAAGAAGAAAAGGGCGTCTGCAACAGTAAGGAAACATCACTGAAAAGCAGAAAATTTTCAAAGGAATACGTTAATCACGTAATAGGCAAGCAAATAAAAGACATGATACAGGTGACACTATGTGCAAATGTGACTTGTTTCTCATATTCAATGTTTAATAGTCATTTTCACAAAGAGCTTATTATAAGCCATTTAATATTATTATATTTAGATGTACTTATTACTTAGAACTTAGAAAGCACCAACGTATTCTGCCGTGCTATACATTTGGGGAACAATGCAGACATGCCAGTAAAAAAGGAACAGAGAACATGGTTATTTAATAAAGTGAGAGTTGTTGAGAATTCCAAGAAAATTTAAGGTGGATTTCACATTTTACACCAAAAGAGCCGAACTGGAAGCATAGCAGATTTAGAGAACATTTACAGTTCAACTATTTCAGGCTTACATTTAAAATCCATGTTTTATTCACTTTGAATTCCCATAATTCACACAAAGTACTTTATAACATGACAAGGTGGCTACAATTCGAATGTATCTTTACATAGCATGTAATATTGATATGATGAAATAGCAATGCAACTGTATGTGACTGGCCCAGGCAATAACGCTTGCTTTTGTTTACATTCAACCTTTTTCCTATATCTCCCCTCTTAATCTCCTTCCTTTCTTGACAACTCTTTGCAGGTTGTGTGCAATCAAGGAGTCACCACCCCCGGGTTAGCCCCCCCATATTGAGAATTTTAACAAAAGATTATTCCATTTGTTAGATCTTTGTTAGATCAGGTATGATCAACAATTTTTTTGTTAGATCTACTCTAAAATATGCGATATTAACAATCATTGTCGGGGGGGCTAACCCGTAGCCCGCCCCCCCTCAACAAAAATTTGTAGAAAATGTTGTTGATTATGATAGCTCTACGTTAGATCAGGTTTGATCAGCCAAAATTTTAGTTTGATCTAGTTTACGCGGTGTTCACTGGTGGTCCTCGTGGGTGAGTGAACTCTAGCCTGTGAGGCTAGAGTTCACTCTCGCGAGATCCGGTCGTTGCCATGGCAACGCGCCGGATCTCGCGAGAGGAACCCGGCGGAGCTGCAAGTTAGAGCTCCGCCGGGTCCTCTATCCAGCCTGGCTGGCTGTCTCCCTTCCTCCCCGCCGGCGGCCGCATGTGGGCCGGTGAGGGAGATCTCCCCACCGGCCCTCCATGGCAAACAGCGGGGCCGGCGCTAGGAGAGTGCCGGCCCTGCATAGACCGGCAGGGCGAGATCCTGGGACCTCCCCTGCCGGCCTCGGCCCATGGCCACCGCGGCCCACCGGGCATTTGCCCGGTTTGCCCGATGGCCAGTCCGGGCCTGCTCCTTGCACATTATAGGTGTCAGGACCAGGATGCTCACAGGTGAGCTGACTGCCCCTGTCTGGGTCTGCAGTGCTGGGCGAGCGCTACATAAGGCAGAGCAAGCACCTGCTTACCTTAATAGCAGGTGCCTGCTCTGCCAACAAATTCCAGTGTCCAGAGGAGAGGGGCGCAGAGAAGGAAGGTAGGCTGTTCTTGAAGTCTCTCACTCCTCCCTCGCACGCCCTCTGGGATGCCAGGAGATGGAATATGACGTAATTATGGCCCTGACATACTAAACAGCACGCTGGAGGAGTGAGGAGCTGCCCCCCACTGGACCCCAGGGAGGTGAGTGTTTGTCAGTGAGAGTGTGTGTGAGTGTCTGCCTGTGTGTGTGTGTGTATGTCTGTCTGTCTGTCAGTGAGTGAGTCAGTGGATGTCTGTCAGTGAGTGTGTGTTTGAGTGTGTGTCGGTCAGTGAGTGAGTGTAAGTCTATCAGTGAGTGAGTGTATGTCTGTCTGTCATGTGTGTGTGTGTGTGTGTCAGTGAGTGAATGTCTGTCAGTGAGTTTCTGTCTGTGTGTGTGTGTGTGTGTGTGTGTGTGTGTCAGTGAGTGTATGTCTGCCAAATAAACGTTCCAGTTACAAAATGCTTTTTTCAAATTGTTCTAAAACCAAACACTTAAGACAAAGTGCAAGAACAAAGTGTGGGTTGGCATGCTTCACTCACCTGTATTTTAAGAGAAAGGTACCTTTCAAGAGTAAATATGAAAAGTATAGAGAGTAATAGAAAAAGACTAAAAAGGAGAAAAGAAAGTGCACTGCCATGAGATTAGAGACTAGAAAAACACCACACAAGGACAGAGGGCTCTCACTGTCCCTGGAGGGATTTATGTTATTCT